TACATGCATTCATCGTGGAATGATTAAATCCAACGAATTCACATGTCTGTTCCCTCACATCTCGTTTCTTGGTGGTGCTGAACAACATTCTGAAGGTCAGGTAGCTCCATGTTTAAATGGACATGAAGTCATCGATAGATAGATATACGTGAATTAAGACTTTAATTTTACAAATGTGTGTATGTGTAGGCTACAATTAAACTCATGTTTGACACTGTCAAGAATTAGTAGTTTTTGTTTCGAATAGGGTTAAATGTCCAGGATAGCAGAGAAAGAAGTCAGGAAAGCTTCCTGGTTTGTTGTTGTTGTTTTAATTGCATTGGCTTGGGAGTGAACCTGTCTCCCTTTCCTATTGGCCTCACATTTTTTTAAGTGGATAATGTTATGACAAGTTTGATAAAGATGATGCTTCTGGCTTCCTGGAGACAGGAATCAATTACCAAGAAGAGATAACATTTCTCTCCATTGAGCCATTAAAAATAAAATTCACAGGCTTCGAGACCTTATCGCTTTTTGAATCTTTTTAAAAAGGTTGACATAATTTCCCTGTGATTCTTTCTGGATTATTTATTTGTATGTTTGGTTTTATCTCCTGAATTTTAGATTACCAATAATCCTTCCATAGATTTTGACCATTTTTAGGACAGCATTCTTGGAAGCATTTAATTCTCACAGCATTTGTTATTTTTTTTTTATTTTTTATTTTTTAGAAATTACTTAATTCTCCGGGCTCAGAATAAGACATAACTTCATAACATGTGTGGTTCACAAGGTGTTTGATCCCTTCCCCCTGAGTTTCTGGCGTTTCTGGTAGAATCTCTAATGAGAAGTTTGCATAAGAAGAACCTGAAGAGAACTGAATCCCACCACAGAAAACCTACCTGATTTTCTGCAAGGACTCTAGGAGAGCCAGAGGCAGCCAAATACTCTAGCCTCCCAAATACTGAGGCTCCCATTTGGGCCAGAGCCTGACCTTCTGAGCCAGCTCCTTCATCCATTCATTCATTCACTTATTCTTCCATCCACTTACTCATTCATTCCTGTGTCCGTTACCTAGTGAGCACATACTCTGCACCAAATGCTGACTCAGCACTGAGGACGCTTGGGTGAACAAGCAGATGTGGCCACTGCCTTCGAAATACCTACGCTTTACTCACAATCTGGAGGGCTTCTCTTACCTAAAGCCAACTCCAGCAGCGTCCAGCACAGGTAGAGTCGTCAGGATGCAGAGTCAGGCACATTCATACCCCGCACGCCCTAGGACTGCCTGCTGGACAAAGGACTAGGATCCTGCACTGTGTAGAGCCCTTCATGTAGTTTTGGCAAGGCAGCCTCCCATGCAAACACTTGGCTTAGCCTGCGATCCTTCTCGTATTCCTCTGTAACAGAAAGCAGATTGGTATGCAAACGCTTCTCATTTGATTTTCTTATTTATTTTCCCTACTTTCACATTTATTAGAGATAACTTATGAATTACAGTAACTAATACTTTTTGTGGGTTTTTTTTGTTTTTGTTTTTGTTTTTTGAGATGGAGTCTTGCTCTGTCACCCGGGCTGGAGTACAGTGGCACAGTTTCAGCTCACTGCAGCCTCTGCCTCCTGGGTTCCGATGATTCTCCTGCCTCAGCCTCCTGAGTAGCTGGGATTACAGGTGCACACCACCACGCCCAGCTAGTTTTTGTATTTCTTTTTTTTTTTTTAGACAGAGTCTCACTCTATCGCCCACGCTGGAGTGCAGTGGCACAGTTTCAGCTCACTGCAAGCTCCACCTCCCAGGTTCATGCCATTCTCCTGCCTCAGCCTCCCGAGTAGCTGGGACTACAGGTGCCCACCACAATGCCTGGCTAACTTTTTTGTATTTTTTAGTAGAAACGGGGTTTCACTATGTTAGCCAGGATGGTCTCGATCTCCTGACCTCATAATCTGCCTGCCTCGGCCTCCCAAAGTGCTGGGATTACAGGCGTGAGCCACCGCGCCCAGCCTGTAATTTTTTTTTTTTTTTTTTTTTAAGTAGAGACAGAGTTTCACCATGTTGGCCAGGCTGGTCTTGAACTCCTGACCTCAGATGATCTGCCCACCTTGGCCTTCCACACCACACACGGCTGACTAATAGATTTTCTTACCTACAAGTTAGTCTCTGGTTATGTTCCTCCTTGCCTCGTTAGGTGACTGGCCCGAGGCGTAGCTGTGTTTCCGTCCCGTCACGTGTGGGCTGTAGCAGATCATTTATGCGTGTCCTGGAAGTTTCTGTGCAAGTGACACAGCCCTTGACGCGTTGAGCCCAAGCACCATCTGATCTTTGTTTACTGCACTGATTATGGTTTTATTTGATCTTTCCTTCAATTTTCCTCATGCTACTTGAATTTCCATGTTGTTTTTGTTCCGGCATTTTAAAAAATTTATAGGGAATCTGAATTGCAGAATCTGCCTCTCAGCCCTGCACTTTCTCGGTTGTCAGTTTCTTAAAAAGTTTTTGTTCAGCCTTCACATTATTTTAGCATGATGTGTGTGTGTGTGTGTGTGTGTGTATACATATATATATATATATATATATATATATTTTTTTTTTTTTTTTTTTTTTTGGAGACAGAGTCTCACTCTGTCGCCCAGGCTGGAGTGCAGTGGCGCGATCTCGGCTCACTGCAAGCTCCGCCTCCCAGGTTCATGCCATTCTCCTGCCTCAGCCTCCCGAGTAGCTGGGACTACAGGCGCCTGCCACCACACCCGGCTACTTTTTTGTATTTTTAGTAGAGACAGGATTTCACTGTGTTAGCCAGGATGGTCTCGATCTCCTGACCTCGTGATCTGCCTGCCTTGGCCTCCCAAAGTGCTGGGATTACAGGCATAAGCCACCGCGTCCGGCCAACGCATTTTTTTAAAAGTCATTTTGAGAACTGTCTTTATTTAACTAGCTGCAATTGTCCCAGAGCTTAATTAGAAGCAGCATATTGCAACTGTTTAGGTGCTATCTTGAGGCAAAATAATTACCCTGTAATAATAATGTGTTTAGTAAACTTGTCATTATTGTCATAGAGGGCTGGAAAGAGTGTCTTCTTAAAGCCCATGAGGACCCTAGGGTACTCTGCAAATAGCAGAGTTCTAAAGCTGAAGGAAAAAAATGAGTGAAAAAAAAACTGTGTGAGTGGTCAGAAGCCCCATGTCCTTATGCATCATGGCACAGCCCACCCTGTAATGACAAGGTGTTGTATTCCACTGATACTTGGGGGCTCTTCTGTGATCCCTGGGGTTGTTGCGTGTACATCCCCAGAGGCTCTCTCAACACAGTTACCAAGGTCAGATGGGCTACTTAGACCATCTCTCTGGCTCATACCCTGTACTTCCGGGGGCTGAAGGTGACAGGACAGACCCCAGCCCAAGACTGGAGGCTGATTAGAGTTGCCAGACATCCACTAGATGCAAAGTATGTCCTGAATTTTGCAACTTTTGTCCTGGATCCTTTATTAATTTGTCAGGATGCCCTAAATGTCCAGTATTCCGCTTTTCTTTTTTCCAATCAATTACAGAATTCAGCAATAAGAGCTATTATTCAAATTTAACCGGGCATACCCTGCGGCTAAGGAATGTTGCTGCCCAACCCGTGCTCTTGGTTGATGGACAAGGAATGCCTGCGTCTCTCCGTTAATAGTCACTTAAAAACACTCATTCCTCCTTTCTGGTTATATTTTAATGTCCCCAGGGAAGAAGTCAAATAACTCCTCCTGCAGTTTCTTTAGTGACCAAAAGAGCAAACTCCGTGACGAGCCCTTTGTCGTAGCTGTTTTGGTCCCAGATCCAGCTGATAGGTTTCTTGGTGAAATAATGTCTGCAAATCCCTTTCTCAGAGCGGCAGGCGGTGTGAGTGTGAGAGAATCTGCAGTGACCGCAGGTGATGGGCGGGAGGTGGTGGTGGAAGGTGGTGATGGAGACCTCCTTAAAACCCCAGGTGGTGAATTTCTTCTTCCCTCCTTCCTGGCTCACTGCCTTTCAGCAGCTGTGACATGGCCAGGGCATGGGGAGCTTCTCCAGGCGCACTTAGCTGAAGAGATAACGCTGTCAGAGGACAGCAGTTACTAGTAAGTAACTTACATTTCCCTTCTACTCTGGCTGTTCCCTGCTGTCTAAATAGAGAAAGTGGAATTAAGTTTATTATCTGTGACCTAATGCTAATTCCTCTTGCATCCTGCCTTTGTGCAAAGGGATAAGGGCCATTGAAAAAGTAGTGGACGAAGCTTTAGTATTGTCAACACTTTCAAGGGTTACAAAACAAATCTATTGAATGATTAAGAATGTGAGAAACAGTATTCTAGAGTCATGTGTGATCGTCCAAATTGTATATTTCATTATAAAAAGTATATAAAGTCATGGTATTATAGAGTGTTAAAATTATACATTATCAATGAATCAAGAAATTAAAATTCCTGATGAAATTCTTGTCAAATCACTTTCATGTCTACTAAAGCTTTTAACTTTTTCTCTAGTAAAATAGTGGTCAAAATTAGCATGCGGAAAGTAGGCCAGTGATACTGAAGTCGTAAGTGATGCTTCCAAGCCTAGAGATATTGCAGCAACCTCTTCCAAGCCTGATAGCCCCTGCGAAGAGTGCTTTCAAATGGGTAACTTGAAAAAGCCAGCTAAGCAAAGATCAGTGGCATCATAGAACATTAAGACATGGCAACTTGAGAAAAAGATTTAATTTGCACCTTTTTTTTTCTTTTTTTAAATTAGATTTTTTTTTAAGTGATACTTTTCAAATGTTACTTTCAGAAGCTGTTATTTTGGTCTGTTTCTTTCATCCTGCATGTGCTAATTTCCTTGATTAATTTGGAGAACATCTGCATATAATTCCGTGGTCTTTTCATTGGCAAAACCTCACAGCTTTGTGCAAGACTTGGAGAGTTCACATTCCAGACAGTCTGGGATTGTATCTAATTGAAATGCCAAACCTACCGAAGTGCCAGAGCGTAAGTGTATAATTATGTAATTTTCTCTTGATCTTTCAGAGTCTTCCTGCGAGCAATTAATCAGTATGCAGATATGCTGAACAAAAAATTTCTGGATCAAGCCAACTTTGAGCTACAGGTAAGAGAAGAGGTAGACGCGACCTTTGTGGAGAAATCATGTTGGAACAAATTGCTGGTCTGAGCCAATATCTTACAGTATTTCTAATCCTTGAACTTAATTGGTCTCCCATCCAAGATGCGGAAATGGAATTTATAGTATGTACTATTGGAACCTGAGGAGTGAAAATTATGCCTTTGGAGTATTTGCTTAATTTAGCAAGGAAGGAGATAGCGTTGTTTCAGAGAGAAGCTATTGAATCAGAGTGACAAGGAGGAACTCTCCAAGCAGGGAGGCCACCGAGTCCCAGTGTGTGTAGCTGCCAAAATTGTCTCAGCTCATCTTACTGTGGAGGGAGGATCAGCAGAGGAGGAGACGCGGGTCTGCCCCTCGAGCTCAGTTTGCTTTTATAACTCTGTGTTCCCTCCATATCCTCTATCAACCTTGTGCTACTAGCAGTGGCTTTTAGCAGGCCAGAGACCCTGCCCCCGAGACCCCATGGTCCCTTGGAAATGCTCCTTTGGTGCACGCAGTGTGAGAGAGAGAGAGTGTGTGTGTGTGTGTGTGTGTGCATGCCTGCTGTGAGGATTGATTTTTGCCTGGCCTGATTTCTTACTGTGCATCCAAAATGTGTGGCTCTCACTTCCATTGTACTCTTGATGTGTTTCTGCTAATAATGATTTTATCGGTCATGATTATTACTTAGTTGTTATTTTAGTATAGTTTACAAATTTTTGAAAGGCATGCAGATACCAATGGCATGTTTATTTCCTGGGCAACATGGTTCACTCTCTCAAAAGGAACCCGAAGAATTTTTGTTTACCCATTGGGTGATCCAACCCCAAAATAAGTTACCCAATAGCAAAAATTATATAGCCACCTGCTTTTCCATTTGCATTGCCCTTATTTTTATAATTTTTAATTTTTAAATTTTTATCATATTGGCATTATAGGACAGAATTAGATAATAATATATCAGGTGCCATATATCTAAACATGTTACTTGTTTGTAGTTTTTTTTTTTTATCATTTTCTCTGCTGAATGCTTGTTTTCATATGTCATAATAACATACTTTCTCCTGATACAATGTATATGTGCTGAATATCAGTTTAGCAGGTAAAACAGGAAACATTCCTTCCTGCCGCTTTGCTGCCTCTCACTGCTCCTCTGCAGGAGTAACTTTTAACTCATTGTTCTGAATTCTTGGTCACGCTTTCAGCATTTATATGGGCCTGTGTGTGTTTTCTTTTGGCCTTTAACATGAACTGGATCACACTCTGTGTTTTTCAGCTCTGTCATATTCCACGATGTGAACGTACCAACATTTATTCACGATGTGAATGTACCAACATTTATTCACGATGTGAATGTACTAACATTTATTCAGCCATTTCTGCACTGATAACCTAGAGGCCGTTTCCCGTTCTTTACAATCACAAGCTGTGCTACCGTGAAGGCCGCGATACATGTGCCTCTTAGTGCACGCATTGCTGTGGAATAGGTTGATCTCTCGGCCAAATGATACGACATTTTAAGTTTGATGGAAAATGAGCACTTTCCTTCCTGACATGATTTTAGCAATTTGCCATCACACCAACCTTGTTTGAGAGCAGCCACTTTCTATCTAGAATCTTCTTCAACACTGATTTCTTTAAAATGATGGATTTATGTTTTTATTGGCATTTTTCTGATGATTATTTAGGCTAAGAATACTTAGCAGCTGTGTGGGTTTCTGCTGTGAACTCTCTGATCATTTCTTCTGCTCATGTTTGTATTTGACTGTCTTCCTTTTTTATAAGTTGGAATTCTTGATATAGGCTAGGCATGGTTTTAGGCTTATCGTATAGAAATATTTCATTTTTCTGCAGTGAAATCTGTAGAAAATCTGTATTTCTTTTACAGCTGTCTGGTTTTATGTTTTACTTGGCAAATCTCTCCTTGCCTTAATATTATATACTTCTAAATTTTACTATTTTGTATTAGAATCTGCTAATACCTTTGTGATTTTGTGTTTTTGTGTTTGTTTTACCTTTCAAGTGTTTAATCCATTTGGGATTTCTGTAGTTAGTATAGGGGTAAGGATCTAACTTACTACATCATTTCATGAATAGATGACCCTTTCTCCAATGATTTGAAATTATAATTAACATAATTATAAATGTATGTGTGTATAAATTCCATTTTTTGTGTTAATATCATAGAGGCTTAATCCTTTTACCTTTGTGACCAGCTAGCAGAGTCACTACTTTTCCACTTATTTGTTTGTTTGTTTGTTTGTTTTTTTGAGACGGAGTCTTGCTCTGTCTCCCAGGCTGGAGTGCAGTGGTGCAATCTCGGTTCACTGCAAGCTCTGCCTCCCAGGTTCACGCCATTCTCCTGCCCCAGCCTCCTGAGTAGCTGGGACTACAGGCGCCTGCCACCAAGCCTGGCTAATTTTTTGTATTTTTTAGTAGAGACAGGGTTTCACCGTGCTAGCCAGGATGGTCTTGATCTCCTGACCTTGTGATCCGCCCGCCAAAGTGCTGGGACTACAGGCGTGAGCCACCACGACCCGCCTTCCACTTGTTTTCTACTGCAGAATTATCTTGACTGTTTTTGTGCATGTCCTGTTCCATTCAGAGTTTAAAATCAGATGGCTGAGTTTCTTTTTTAAAAACATACCGCTTAGATTTTAGCTGGTATCCCATTGAATTGATAAATAAATTTGGGGGAAGTTTATAGTATTTGAGGGAATACTTTGCAGTATTTTTTTCCCCATCTCATGCTGGACTATTTAGGTATTTGCTGTGCCATTTTTCTAGTTTTTTCTAGGTCAGGTCTCATGCGTGGCTTGCTGGGTAGATTCCTGTGTGTGGTAGGTGTGGCTGCTCTGGTGGAGCCTGTTTCTCGGCATGCTGGTGCTCCCTGGCTTTCTTCCTGTTTCATGAGGATGGCCCCTTGGACTCTCACCGTGAGCCCAAACACCTTGCAAGCCATGTGCTTCAGGGCCCACATAGAGCTTTGCCCCTTGGCAGGTGTGACACACGTATTTATTGTTTGAGGAGGGTTTAGCAGGAATTGCTGCCTGCTGTCAGCTGCGTTCTGACAGTCACAGTCAGAGGCCCATCTAGAACAGGACCCGTGTCTGCACGTACCCAGAATAGATCTTAATTTAAACACCACCACCGCTACCATGAGTGCTCTGCCTCCAAGGCAGTCCTGGTCCTGTATAGGAAAAGAACGAATTAGGAGTTGGTGAAGCTGTCATGTAAAAAGAAGCATTCGTGTTTTGTTGTTGTTGCTGCTGTTGCTGTTGTTGTTGTTAAAGGGAGCAGGTAGGAATTAAGATCTGTTCTGTGTCCTTGCAGGCATGGGTCCTGTTCTGGCTGAGCCCCTGACCATGATTCTCAGAATACAGGTGGCTGCAGCCAGTGATTCCTGCCAGTGCTGTGGCAAGGCTGAAATCGGTGGGAGTCCCAAAAACAAAAGGAATGACTTGTATTTTATTGACTGCTGCTCCCCTTTCTTTATAAAGGGGGCTAAAAAAAAGAGCCCCACTGTGGGCTCTGAGGTTGGGGGTCCCGAGCTCAGACCCCCATTCTGCTTCATGTGTTTCCTGTAGCTTTGGGCTGGTCTCTAAATCTCAGCTCTGGAATGGAGATGACAGCACCTACTTGGTTATTCTGTGGTAATCAAATGAGCTGGTGCATGACTATAGAAAGTGTGCCATTCATGGGAAGTGTTGGATAAATGCAAACCCAACAGACTTTTCTCAAATCCTACAAATGCTCTTAAATTGCCACTTACTTCTCAGGTCATTACAAATAGGGTCAATATAATGTTCACACTTTATTTTTATAGAACTCTTTGCAGCTATCTCCTTTGATATAATAAATATTATCCCTGGTTTGTAAATGAGAAAACTGAGACCCACAACTTTCTTCTAAAGGCCATAGTCTTTTAAACCACACATATGTAGTCCCTAAACCCTTGAAATATGGGTGTATTGAAACACGAAATATTTGATCTTTTTACATTTGTTTTCCTTGTCTAGTGTATATATGATTTGGGGGTATAGTAGCATCCTAAATTTTGGAAATCTATACTATTCTTTTTTTTTTTTT